TTTGCCGCTTAACTCTTTATACTTCCTTTGCTGCAAACTTTTTTTGGGAACTAAATTTTTGCCGAAAAGCTATTCCGGAAGCAGCCGACCAGGTCGTTAGATTGGCAAAAGGCTGTGGTCGGTCGACGTCTAAACAACGGGCTTGCGCGCAACAACAATCCGAAAAAACAAACACACCCACTCGTATGCACGCAAGTACCAGCTTACCGGAGGAGCGCCGCCGAATTTGCGAGTGAATTTGCTGCAGGGCGATGTCAGCATTTTTTTCGATATTTTTTATGCAAATAAGTTTCTAGACGTTGGCCAAGAATTTATTAATTTATAGCACGTTTGCAATGACTCACAAAACTTGTATTTTTTCCACTTGGTAGTCGTTTTCAAGTATTCCACTCAATACGGGTTACCTTGCTGAGCTTCAGTGTTGCGTTGATTGTGCTTGCACTAATCGACAGACAGTGAAAAATTGATTTTCGGGATTGCTTTTTTCAAATGGCTGCATACTTTCAATACACTGTTTTTGCAAGATTCAACAATTTATTATTGAATGATGACGTTTTTTGTTATTGTGAATGCAAATATTACTGGTTTTTTATTCGATTTCTTATTTTTTCAGACACTAACGCAAAATCCTTTTGCGATTTCACTGACTCAAAATTTACATTTTTTTTTCCTTATAGTTTCAGCTACACCCAACACTTTTTCACTTACATTTTCGACAGCGCGTTCCTTTACTCGGGTTATTTTTACTAACAGTTTATAATTTTATCGATTAAAACAAGTTTTTCTTAAAATTTCACCGATTTGCAACTATCAGAAACCCCGTGCACAAGAAAAACACAAGAGAAACACACAAACGAAATGAGCCAACTGAAGAAGGAAAAGAAGAACCAACTCAACAGCAGTGATCGGACTCCCAAAAAAATTCTGTGTGGTAGAATCTGGAAAAAAATGTGGTAGATTTCAAAAAAATGTGGTAGATCTCTGGGTGTGGATAAAACTTTGTACAAAAATTAAAAAAATTCTGCAAGGTTTCACCTAAATGGCAAACTTTTTAATTAGACTCTAAAAAATTTTTTTTTTAGTATAATAAAGTGCAAGATTGAAGTTGCTAAAAATTGCTTTGAGTTTTGGCAATTTTTTTCCTTGACAGTGTAAAGCAGTTCTTTCCATATTAAGATATTTTTCGAACATATTTTAATAAATTTCTGCAACCTTGCGGTGTGCTACCAGCTTTTCTTTTTATCACATCACGAAGTAGCGAACAAATGAAGCACGTTCCAGAGACAGTTAATTGGGATTTGCCGATTTTGACAATTCTCAAGTAATAGTAATCGAAGCTTCAGAAACCTTAGAAGCATTTAAATTTGCTAATACTTTCACAAAAATCGCCTTTTTAACATTTTTGCTATTAATTCTTTTTATAAGTCAAATATTTCGCAATTTAACACAACAAACCGCATTTTTTGTGGAAAAATTGATTACTGAGAAATTTTACTATTTTACAGTTTATTTTATCCTCCCATTCGGCTTTGTTTACTATTGGTTTAGAATTTCATCGTCGCCGGGAATGTGGAATCTTGTATTATATCATTCTTTTGTTACCATTTAGTGTTTAGTGTTGGCCAATTTTTTCTCTTAAAATTAAGAAAATTATGTCAAGCAAAAATAAAACAAACGCGAATGTTTGGTGGATCTCTGACCTTGAGTGGTAGATGTGGAAGGTGCACAGATCTACACAATGTAGTTGTGATCCTATCACTGCTCAACAGCAGCGAAAGGTGCGAATACGTTGCCAAAAGCAAATTGGAAATGGAAATTCTTGTACACCCTATACTTCCGGCAGTGCATTCCAGTGTTGTATTTGCGGCGAGTTTAAGAAAAGTGTTATACTCGCGCGAACAGCTGATTCTGCCTGATTTGAACAGTTGATGAAGAAAAGTTTTGTGGCGGTAATAAACCGTAGCTTCGTTTTTTAAAAGTTTGTGCTTCAATGAAAAATTGATTTAAAAGTGAAAAAGCATGGTTTTAGTTTAGTGAATTGCTTAGTTCATTGTTTTTGCTATCTATACAAAAAAATGCGTGTTTGTAACAAAGTTTTGTGGTGCAAATAAAATTTCACAACGATAATGGAAGCGTTTGCCATCATCTATAAAAATCTGTGCAACGGTAGGGGGTTATATAACTTCTTTGGTGTATTCCAAAATTCGTAAGTCCGGTGAGTACATAGTATTTTTAAGAGATTTTATATATATATACATAATAGTAATACCTACATCCACATCGTACAAATATTTTCAGTAGTAACCGCTTTTGGGCAGTTTTGGAAGTCATGTTGTTTCCGGTACAACTTTGTTTCCATAAATGGTGCAAGAACGTCATATCTCAATAAAAAATCAAATTATCGGCAGCTAAGATAAAGCGTTCTTGAACAAATTCTAAGATAGGAATATTTTCAATCAAATTCTGCCAGAGTTCGCCTGTTTGAATCTATTTAACATTTAGCTAGGTATACAGGCGGATTCATCGTTCCAGTGCTGAACTTTTCAAAGTCAAGAAAGGCCTCGCAGTGGATGTTCCCAAACGAATTTTAGCAACACGAATGATGGAAACACGTAGAAAATTGTTTGCAGATCCTGAAATCGCTGCAGGAATCACCGGCTTTTACATTAAATTCATCCATTGAATCAAAATAATTTTCGCAGTATTGCCTAGTGAACACATGATTAACACATGTAAATTGTCTGTATTGCCAGAGAGCTTTATATAGAGCTCATGGCATCCCATGGCCCACATATTTGACAAAAATTCTGATTTATGGATTCTTCGATTATTCAGAAACTCCAATAGGTTAATATCAGAGAAGGCCGCTGAAGCACGGAATAAATATGCAAAAGCAACTATATCGCAGAAATTTTAAGAGAACATTTACTTGAGAATCCTTAAGGTGACCAGAATTTTTTAACATTCCAGGAAGACAAAATCTTCACATTGAAAACACAAACATTTTTTTAATTTATTTTAATACATACATATGTATGTACATAAATAACGATTAAGTTAACAATTCACAGTTTCTCTAAAGAGAAGTAAAACAGGTTAATAGTACAATGCGTTGCGTAATTAGAAGACCGCCACATATTAACAAGTTTTAACTATTTATTTTTAAATTATTTAATTGTAATTAGTTGTGTTATTTGCAAGAGTAATTGGTTTTGTTCTTCGTCTTTCGTCAAAGTTCGATTATAATTTTTTAGCAACGCTATACCTCGTTCAGCAACATCATTAACATGTTCAATATTCTTAAGCGTCTCTTAGAATAAAAAACTCAAATTTTTGCATCAAAAACTAATTTTTGCATCAAAAAATAAGCATCGTAAGTCCAACTCCAGCTACGCTGACCACAATATTTTTGAGGAAAGGTGTTCCTTACGAGGGCTATTTTTTGATGAGAAAATGACATCGACATCGATAATAGGGCCGTAAAAAGGAGTATATTTTTGCTCAAAAGGAGGACAGAAAAGGAAAATATTTTTGAACAGGACAATCCTCCTCAAATGAGGACGGTTGATCAGGTTAGAATCCTGCAACGTGGACATATTAGGTTTGTTCCACACGAGCCCGTGGGATCCCGCGTTTGCCGAAAACAGCCCAGAAAGCGTTCTTCACTCTAGAAAAATGGGTTAAGGTGGAACTCCATAGGCTAAAATTTTTCCAGCAAGAGTTTGCAACTTCTCTCAGGAGAACTGTTACTTTGCGCTCTCAGTTTTTGAGTGATGGATAATCTTTTGGTCTGCACGAACGCGATTTGGGCAAAAATTATGATAATTCGTACAAATTCGTAAAAGTTTTTCGCTCGACGAACAAAACTAATTTGAAATTACAGCTGTTGTTTGTTTACATACGAAAACAAATTTTGTAAGATACAAAAATGGAAAATAGCACTAAGTTTCTAAGAGGAAGTCTAGCTTATCCTAAAACAAAAAATTCCAAAAAGCACTTTCCGGGGAAGGAAGTTACCTTATTGGGGGATTGGTACAGTGTCACTAGCTCAAGATATTTGCTATTGCGGCGTAATTTTATCGAAAGCCACCAAAAGACTCTCGATTTAGTTTCCATTTCTGTTGCTAGCACTTCCCATGACTTATTCACGTAAACTACAACACCGCCAGTGTGTTTGGAATCGCTGTCACTTCGGTGAATTCTATAATTTGGAAGATATAGCTCTTCATCCTCTGATGTATGTGGCAAGATGTGTTTCCGATAAGCAGACGAAGTCGTATATGCTCTGTTGTCTGGCCAAAGTCCTCAGCAATACCTTTCATTTGATATCCATATTGGGATGTTTTAGATAAATTGTGTAGAATCGAAAATAAGTGGCAACCTTACATTACTATCTTAAGGGATACCATTTTTGTATAGGCATTTTTTAAGAACCAAAAACTATCTCCCAAGATTCATTCCCCGGGAAGCCCTGTAGTAGGAGGAGAAAGAGAGGTGCTCTCAAGTTGGAAAGGTGGGAGGTGCTAAGCCCCCTTCATTGTTTTTTTTTTTTGTTGGACCAGTCACAAAATCAATATTCTTTACAATTTTATGGATTGAGGTAAAATAATCTAATGTCGATTCTCGATTTTTTTTTTATCGATTCACGGATCGAATCGGAATTAAATAATCGACAAAAAGTCGAATCGGAAGAGCTCGATTTAATCGTTTTAAAAACGCCATCTCTAATGGGTACATAGACGGCTGGGAGAACATGCTTCAAAAAAAAAATGTTTCACGGAAAACCAAATATGTAACTATCTTCATGTGCATACATAGTACTAAGTATTTTATTTTTTATTAATTTATTAAATTTAATATACATATGTATATAGATACTAAATATTTTATTTTTTATTAATTTATTTTTAAATGTCTTACCAATTCAATTTCTAAGTTCTAAGTTAATCAACTTACATATACATAGATATTTACAAAACTAAAAAATAATAAATTCCAGAATAACTCAATCAACTCACATACATATACATTAGGGTGATTTTTTCGCGATAGTTTTTTTTCGCTCCCAATATCTCAAGGAATGTCGAAATTGAATTTCCTACCACTTTCTTATTTACATTTTTTCTGTAGCTCTTGTTATTTATCAGATAGGGGCAAAAAACGAGAATTTCACCAAAAAATTGGCTTTAGTGGCACGTGTTAGGATTACGCCGCAATGGACACTTTTGTAGAGCATTCAATTCTGAAGAAACCCTTTCATCAAACAAGATTATACCATAAAATGCCTCTGAGCTGTAGAATTTTTAAGAAGTTTAGATTAATTTTAAACGGGAAATCTTTCCACGCCTTGGTCGAGCTCTATATATTAATATTTAGGGCTCAAATTTTCAGGAATTTTTTTATATGTATTTCCCACAAAATTTCTAGGTGGGAATGAAAAATTGATAAATGTCGCGAAGAAAAGCACCCTAATATATGTACATATAGTCCTACATACACAACACTAAATAATAAGCCTTAACAATTTTTATTAAATACTAAAAGAAAATACTCAGGCTATGCCCACTTCTCAAGCTGCAGTCATTCATGTAATTCCCTCTTTTACGCACCGCGCATTCAAGAACTCAGAAATATCGAATCGAATGGTATCTCTTCAAACAGCTTATTCGAAATATCACGGAAAATTTTACCAAAGCTACGCTCATAGCCAATCTTCAGCTCATTGAAAACCGTCTCCCAGTTGTCGTTCAAGAATCGATTCATTGTCTGCGATAACAAACGATCGTTGAAGAGATTATCGAATTGCATATAGACACGCTTGGGATTCAGATCGACGCGATACTCCTTGAGACGCATATATTTGACGCCATCGCGCATGAAAGGTTCACCGATGAGCCGATGTTCGATGCGGGTGTTAATCAGCGTCATATTGGCTTTGCCATTACCAGTTATGGGTAGCAGCAATATGCGGCCGGACATCTCATAATCGCCAACCATTTCAATGCGATCGGTTTTACTGTCACAAATAATTAGGTGATTATTGAGATCGGTGCTGGAAAGCGGAAAAAGAGAGAAAGTGTTAATTGTTATTTGTTTTTTGTTTTTTTTATGTAGTTTAAAATACATATATGTATATATGTATTAAAGGATCTTACCGGTAGCGCTGCACTTTGCTGGTGGAGATCATGTCGTGTACGAGTAAGTTTTTCAAGGTCTGCTTCAGCGTAATAGGCGCATTACCAGAATCGATTACTAACGACTTCACAGTGAGTGGCTCGAGCGGTGGTATACCAAACTCTTTGTTGCCTGTGTATAGTTAAACGTTAATTCTCTTTATTTTACAAAAGATTTTATGAATTTATTTTACCATCCTTGAGCAGCAGAATCGCACCGTTCACAGCATCAACAAGGCATTTATCGAAATTTTCATCACGTTTGCATTTTTCGAAATTAGCAGCTGAAATGAGAGAAGAAATAGTTAGGGTATTCAATCAGTAAAAACTTGAAAAAAGCGCATCTACAATATACAAGTACTAGCTATTGCCGCGGCTACGCAGTCAAATGTTACAGCAGGAGAAAAACTTTCTTTATCTTCTTTCCTTAGGCTCCCACATTGTAATGCTTCATTTAACCTCTCATCAAATGGAACTTGGACTTTGAAACTCTTACAAGCCCTTCAAAAATATTTTAAAAACAAAGCTTTAAAATAAGTTTAGAAATGAAGCTTACCTCACTCGTTTGACACCAATGTTAAAATATTTCATTTAACTTAGTAAAATTGATTTTGAATTTCTAAGCAGGTGGCAACCTTCGTCAAAAATATTTCCGGAATAGACCTTTCTTAAACCTCACTCGTTTGACGGCCATAGGTGGTAACCCTCTTCAAAAAAGTTTTCGAAATTAAGTTCTATTAAAACTTTCGTTGGTGTGTTTCCAGCATTAAAATATTTCATTTCACTTGCTGGTTAAGTTGATTTTGAACTACCAAATAGGTGGCAACCCTCTTAAAAATCATTTTTTAATAAATTTCCTAAACCTTTTGTTTGATACCCAGATACAAATATTTAATTTAACTTGTTAATTAAATTGATGTCAACACTTTGCGCAGGTGTCAATCCTCTTCTTCAAAGTTATTTCGAAATAAATCTTTTTAGAATCCCTTTCGTTTGACTCCAACAATGTTATAATATTTTATTTAAACTGGTAATTAATTGATTTTTAATTTAAAAAAAGGTTTCAACTCTCCAAAAAAATATCCTTTTTGTTAATCCAGTTCATAACTGATCTGTCTACAAAATCTCATTCAAATACGTCGGGTCGGTTTAACGTGAAAGAGTAACAAACATACCCTCAAACTCGCTTACCTACAAATTTTCACATTTATAATATTAGTAGGATGTACATACATATTTAGTTTCTAGGGAGCTTAAGCTACGGTTTTTTTTAACCCCGATTTTTACTGATTTTCGAATACCGGTTTTTTCACCTGCTTTATTTACCCAAAAAACATTGAGTTTATTTATTCATTAGAGGTTGATTAAGGAACCAGCATTGTTTTCCAATATCAAGTGTTAGAAAACGATTGGAAAAACATTCGTACCAAACTTTTTATTTTTAGATAATTATTTCTTCGATCAAGAACTAACGTTAGATTTTGATTTTTCTTTGTTTGGTCTAATTTCATCGTTTTTTTTTTTTGACCAAAAATAATCCGTCTTCTGGATTTATATATTTATTCGATAACCGTTCGTTTTTATGGCCGCTTATAATTAATGGAAAAAACTAATTTGTTTTTGTTATTTATGGCCTTATAACAATTATATTCAACAATTTTTATTTAGCTTGAGGTAAAAATTAATCTCTTAAAGTAACGGTTAAATTTGATCGGAAAATAGAAATCATATATTAAAATTTTTTGATTTTTATTACAAAGAGCAGAACCGTCATGATCCCTGCCCTCAACGAAAGGGGCACGCGTTATGTTAGTTTACTAATCTAATTACAAAAAAATAATTACTCAAAATAAATGACCCGGCCTAATGTTCTTGGGCTTTATCTTTTGAACGAATGAAATGAAGTTTATGTGGTTTTGTCTTACATTTATTTGCATCTTTAGATGCTGTTTTGAAGATGACATCAGTTAAGTGATCACCGCCATTAATAATTACTTTGGACCCGTTTTATGGCTTTCCATGTTTTTTTTTTCACTTAGACCGTGAGCGTTGGTCCTTTGTCATACAGCTACCAAGCAAGAAAGCACGAACCCAAGTGGCTGAGCCGCAATCTTGCATTTAATTTGATATTTAATCTCACTGCCTGAACACCCAATAGGACAGTGGCCTAGTCACTACATCCACCAGAACTGAGAGATCAGGCTTCGCGAACCTAAACGGATCCCGGACCGTCCCCGGTCCACCTTCGACCAGAATGACCTCGCGATAGCACATGCCCGGGTTTTCCCCCCACTGTTCGCTCATCTCTCCCCGAGAAGTCCACAAGTGATCAAAGTGATCAATGGAGCTCCCACTCTCTTTTTTCTTGGCGATGTTATTTGGCCAGTTCTTCAGCCTCGCAGTTTCGTGCGAAAGTAATATTGCGACGAAACCGAAAGTGAATTCAGGTATTCCCTAACGAGCTTCCAACGTACCGTCTGTAGTAGTTTAGCGCTCCATGGTTTCTTCAAAGAACTTCTAATTATGTTTACATAACAAACTTCATAAATGAAATGACATTCGACGCTGTTTGCAAAAATTATTCCATGCTCCAATAAAAATTAAATAAATATTTGCGACTTACACATTTTTCTGCGTGTTTGGCCGAGCTGCTCCTCCGATTTGTGACATGAGTCTTAATGACGTTTTCATATCAACACCTAACATATACTTAAATATCACGCAATTATCACGTTTTTTTTCTTCTTCTCATTCTAAATTGTAGTGTGAATTTACAAACCTTTTTCTAAAATCACAAAAATTGTCCTTGAACCTACAGACTGTACATATGCGTATACTACTATATATATTTCGCAAGACAAAAACTCATATGAGAATTTAAAAATTATGTCAATTACATTTATTCAAACATGTACTCGTATGTAAATATGTATACGTACATTTTCTCATTGTTTAACTGCCGTAAAACTTCGAAAAGATTATCGCGCACGCGTTCAGCAGAAAATAAGCACTCAGCTGCTTTGCATACAAACTACGGAAGTGCGACTCAAAGAACAAATAATGAATTATTCTTTTGTGATCTGTGTGTGCAAAAAATAATAATAATAATAATAAGCCCAAACTTTTGTATATTCCGTATTTCATAGGCGAAAAGCGTAAAACTGCGAACGTGTTTAAAATACGCGCGCGCACTTACATATTTTCATTAAAAAATAGAGGGGTAGGTTAGCTTAAAAAGGAAAATGATCAAAAGCGCATATAATTCTGAGCTGTTGTATATTCCCATGTCTATTTAAATTTGTTAAGGGCATTCTTTATTTCAATATCTAGACTACTCTCAGAAGATTTAGATCGAACGTAATGCATACAGTTATCAGGCGTTGGAGTTTAGTGAAGGATTGTCTCACCCTGGCTAAAGCAGCTCTCGAAAACCAAGCCAGCGCCCTATAGGCGACAACGGATCGCGCTATCACGGTGTACATAAGGAATGAAATTTGAAAATTTAAAATTGGTCCGTAATCGGGTAAAAAATGAGTCGAAATAGAGATGACAGTGCAGAATTTCGAAGGGGCGTTTGCCCTATTTTAGCTTTTTTGATTCAGATTTTCCTGTTGCCGAATATTGAATTACCAGAAAGATGGAGTCATATGAAAAGTCTACGCGGATGTTTGGGTAAAGTTTTGAAGAACAATTTCTTTATTGACAACTAGGGATGGCAAAAAATAAAATAAAATAATCGATTAATTAATCATATGATTAATCACAAGCAAAAAAAAATTAATTGAAATTATTGAGAAATAATCAAATTAATCAAAATTTTAAAGGCATTTTTTTGCAGTGAGTATTCACAAAAACACTTGCATAAAAAATTTCGAATTCTCTTGTTAATTAGCCTAGAGTATTTTTAGCGACAATAACACTGGCTCACAAATTTTAGGTTGGTTTTTGTTCTCCAGACGCCACTATCCAATTCCTATGTAGAATTGCTCGGTGATTCCATCGATTTTCTTCATTAGTTATTTCATTCCGCTTGAGTTGTAAGACTTGAAAATTTAAACGAAAACTCATTTCATCTTAGAGGTGACCCAAATCATCATCTTTTCGCCTTCGTTTGTGTACAAGAGATTTATGAGAGGCCCATAGATCGGACTCATTTTCTACTGATTCTAGTGACGACTCGCTACCCTTTTCCATAAGATCATCTGCGTACATTATTTCATTTCGCAGGAACTCCATTACTGAGGCCAATGCTAACTACAATGCTTGAAATACATTTTTTTGAACCTCGGGTCGAGTAAAGTTGATGCAGCTAACAAAAAAGAATGCACGATCGATGGATTTTAGACCACTACAGAACTCATATTTCTTGAAAATATTTTTACTATTATTTTACAATTAATCGATTAATAATCGATTAATAAAACACAAAACTATGATACAATTAAATCTTAAATTGGGCAAAAATAATCGATTAATGTTATCAAATGATTAATCGCTGCCATCCCTATTGACAGCCAATCAATGAAGTACATATTGCTCATTATTATCTATTTATGACCTTTTGCCATTTTTCGGTTAGCTTTAAAATTCCATTGGTGTAGAACTTCTGTGATTTTCAGCAGCGCTCCAGTCAGTCAATTTTTCACCATCAAAAGAGTTCTGCTTGCCTTGCTTATTCTCGAGTTCAACCAATTGTTCATCACCGTATAGAAGGAAATGCACAACATCGTCAACAAAAAAAAAGCGATCGAAAATCTACGGGATTGTTCAAAATTTTCATACTGAAATCGAATAGGCTATAAAACTGCATGCCCAATAAGTTTCTAAAAATTCTGAATTAAGTTGGAAAAAAAAAAATAATATTTTTTTAAATTTTCCTGAACTGCGCACAAAGTTCTAAACTTTTAATTTTATGATTTATGAATAACACTATAGAGTCTACTATCTCTTTTATAAAAAATTAACGAACAAAATTTGTCACGGTAAAATATTGTGAATATTGTAAAAAATAAAAGTGTCCTATTTATGTGAGCGCCACTGTACGTATTCCTGCTAGTAACTGGAAGCCATTGTCCCTAAACCTAAATAGACTCATGGCATAGTAATGAATAACTAAAGCCTGCAACCCTGAAGATCTCAACAAAGATTAATTTCGTATATACATATTTTCGCACAGTTAATACAAACCTACAACGGTTTCTATTTCAGTTTTATTTCCTTTTTTACGCTTTCAATCTGCAAAATACAGGAAATGAATTTCGGTCAAAACTTGAGCGCGCATAAA